TGCTCAGCAGGGAGTCTGCTTCTCCCTCTTCCTCTGTCCCTCCCTCTGCTCATTCTCTCTCTGTCTCAAATAAGTAAATAAAATCTTTAAAAATCATATCAAAATAAATCAAATCTTTAGGGGCACCTGGTGGCTCAGTCAGTTAAGTGTCCAACTCTTGATTTTGGCTCAGGTCATGATCTCTGGGTCATGAGATCTTGCTCCATGTTGGGCTCCGCACTGGGCAAAGCCTGCTTAAATTCTCTCTCCCTCTCCCTTTACCCCTCCCCTGTTTTCTCTCTCTCTCTCTCTCTCTCTCTCTCTCAAAAAACAAAAAATAACCATCACCACTACCACCAACAAAAAAGGCACTCTCAAGTTATTCCCTATGATCTCCTTATTTGAGGCAAATAAAGTTTCTTTTGTGTAACAACTCCAAACAAAACAAAACAAAACAAAACCAAAACCAAAACCAAATCAAACATACACATTCTCCAGCCTGGAAAGCGAAGAAAAGGAAAGGGGGGCTTTTACATTTCCCATTATAATCTTCAATGCTATTTGAATTTCCTTTTTAAAGTAAGCAAATATTTTTTTTATACTTTTTCAAAAATTTTGACCATACAACAGTGAACTTGATTCATCTTGCAAACTAAGGATACTCTCCAATTAATTAGATCCAGAAACTTCAAAAAGTGGAAGTTTCTTCACAAAGTTGAATCTCTTTTTAACACCTCACAACTGCTCATATTCCTCATCGTAAATATGTCAGAAAAGCACTAAAAACTTCCAATAGCACTAAAATTAAAACTAATGTGGTATTTTCAGTTTCATTACCCTTAAAATTGTTTTTGCTCAATTATTATTCTGGATAAGCACACCTAACTGATATGCTGGAACCTGTACTATTCTTAGCTACACAACTGTTTTTGAGCAATAACACACAGATCTCAACTCAAAGACAACACAGGCAAAATTAGTAACACAGGAAACAACAAATGTTGGTGAGGATGTGGAGAAAAAGGAACCCTCCTACACTGTTAGTGGGGATGCAAACTGGTGCAGCCACTCTGGAAAACAGAATGGAAGTTCCTCAAAAACTTAAAAATAGAACTACCCTATGATCTAGCAATTGCACTACTAGGTCTTTACCCAAAGGATACAAAAATACAGACTGGAAGGGGTACATGCACCCCGATGTTTGTAGCAGCATTATCAATTATAACCAAGCCACTGAAAGAGCCCAAATCCATAGACTGATGAATGGATAAAAAAGATGTGGCATATGTATCCAATGGAATATTACTCAGCATTCAAAAACAATGAAATCTTGCCATTTGCAAGGACATGGATGGAGCTAGAGTGTATTACGCTAAGCGAAGTCAGTCAGAGAAAAACAAATACCATATGATTTCACTCATATGTGGAATTTAGGCAACAAAACAGATGAACGTGTGGGAAGGGAAGAAAAAAAGAGGAGAGAGGGGAAGGCAAATCCTAAGAGACTCTTGACAATAGAGAACTGAGGGTTGATAGAGGGAGGTGAGTGGGGAATGGGTTAAATGGGTGATAGGTATTAAGGAGGGCACTTGTTATGATGTAAGTGATGAATCACTAAATTCTACTCCTGAAAGCAACATGCTAACTAGAATTTAAATAAAAATTTAGAAGGAAAATAAACAAAGCCCAGGATAATGAAGTTCAAATACGCACTATGTGTACTATTCATTCACTCACCCATTTGGCAAACATTTATTAGTGCCCATTTATTACCTCAAGCACTGTGCTAGGTGCTGGGGATATAACAGAACAAGACAAACAAGGTCTCTAGCCTCTGAAATTTATATCCTAGTGGGGAAAAAAGCCAGGAAAAGCTTTATTCTGAAGTATGCACACGTTACTCTGAAACCACAAGCTAACATACTAATGATCACAAATGACCTTAAATTAGGATTAAACAGAATGGCATGTGCATGTTTTTTTAAATTAAAGTTTAATTATTTTTTTTTTTTTAGATTTTATTTTTATTTATTTATTTGAGAGAGAGAGAGGATGAGAGATAGCACGAGAGGGAAGAGGGTCAGAGGGAGAAGCAGACTCCCCGCCGAGCAGGGAGCCCGACGTGGGACTCGATCCCAGGACTCCAGGACCATGACCTGAGCCGAAGGCAGTCGCTCAACCAACTGAGCCACCCAGGCTCCCCAAAGTTTAATTATTATTAATTATTTAGGAAAGCAGTGGATTTCATTCAAAGAACTATGCAATCCTGGAAGCATCTCTCTCTGTGAAACTATTCTCAGAAGGCAGGAGGTTGGAGGAGAAATGGCTGAGGCCACACAAAGCTAAAATGTACTAAGTTAAAGCTTACTCTGCAGCAGTCACCAGACTGAGAGCATTTCAAATGTATTATTTCATGCAAACTCCACCACAACCCCAGTTAGAGTATTATGCCCATTTTGAGATAAGAAAGCAAACTAAGATAGGCTAAGTAACTTGCCCAAAGTTAACTAGTAAGATCGCCGCACCAGTCTCTGAATCCTGGCCTTCTGAAATGGAACCTAAACTCTATAATCTCTGCACTGGACTCGGTCCTGAATGGCGGCAGGCTGATGATGGAGAGATGTGTATTTAATCTTGTAGGCAGTGTGAAGGAGGGCTTACAAGATTCTCAAGCAAAGCAAAAAGAGCATCTCATTAAGTCTGATTACAGAGCCCAACTTTAGGAAGATAACTCTGTCCACTATGTATAATGACCTAGATCAGGGAGCCAGTGGCATCAATGAGTAAAGGGATCCACATACCTGGAAATGTTCCAAAGCTAAGAGCTCTTAGAATGGAGACTATAACCCAGCCTCCTGATACTCTCCTCTCCAGGGAATTTTCCTTCTTTCCATTAAGCCGAAATATTGAAAAATTTTGAATATGTGAACCACATGTCACAACCACATTTGTTTAAAAATAGGCTCCACACCCATCGAGGAGCCCAGCTTGGGGCTCAAACTCACTCTGAGATCATGACCTGAGCTAAGATCAAGAGTCAGCAGACTGAACCACCTAGGCACCCCACAATCAAACACATTTAACCTCCATCTAGTAGAATAATGTTTTCTAAACTGTGTTAGGCAGAGAACAACTGCTCAGAGAGACTCTATTCAGCGTGAGCTGGACTGAACAATTTTAATAGATGTGCTGGGACTTCCAAGAAACACTCCAGCCTCCTCTTGGAAAAGCCAAAGAGAAAGGAAGGCAATGGAATCCTGATCAGGCTCAAATACCTTGGTTGTTTCCTTCAGTAAACAAACATTGCTTACCACGTGAAACCCCCAAGTATGATCACCATATGGCATTTCAAACACTCTACCTATGATGTTATAATTTCACACTTGCCACAATTAACTCAGCAGATGAGAATTATTTTCTGGTAGTTTCTGAATGTGTTTGGAATGTGGTGATAAGGCATGCAGGAAGGGGTATAAGTGAGACATGTTGGAAGATGAGAAATAAGGAAATCCCTTACCTATAAAAATATTTGGGGGAAGGGAAATGTGAATTATATTTATACTTTTCCTACTTTACCGCACTTAATCCTCAAAGCCATCCACCAAGGATGGATTTAAATCCATCCATTAGTCAGTTTCAGGTCAGTCACCAGCATCCTTTTAGGACTTTATGACTTCTCCAGGTAAGGTAGACAAAAATGCCCCCCCCAATATGTCCACATCCTAATCCCTGGAATTTGTTATTATGTTACCTTCCATAGCAAAGGAAAATTAAATTGCAGATGGAATTAAGGTTGCTAATCAGTTAACCTTCAAACAGGGAGATTACCCTGCATTATCTGGGTGAGTCCAAAGTAATCACAAGAGGCTTACAACTGGAAGAGAGGTTAGAGTCATATGATGTGAAAAGGACTCAATCTACTGTTGCGGGCTTTGAAAATGATAGAAGGGGGGCAGTAAGTCAAGGAATGCAGGCATCCTCTACAAGCTGGAAAGGCAAAGAAACAGATCCCACCCAAAACATACAGAGAGGAACAAAACCGTTCCAAGATCCTGATTTTAGCCCAGTGAGACATCAGACTTCTCACCTACAGCACTAAAAATAATAAATCTGTGTTGTCTTAAACCAATTTGTGGTAACTTGTTATGGGAGCAAACAAAAACCTAATATAGCAGGCTTCTTCTAATCCTTGGATTTTAGAAAAATTTTGTCAATAATAACTATTAACAATTACTTATTAAATTCCAGGTAGTTTTCTATAATCCAGGACACTACCAGTCTGTGAACTGTTGGGGGCTGGTCTCCAAAGAAGTACAGAAATTGAGAGAGTTTATTTTTATATAATTTCACATTGCCAGACATCCAATTTCATGTCTGCTGAATCTAATAAAAAAAATGTGACTCGTATTTATGTCTATCTCTTCCGTTTCACTTATCTAGTAATTTTATCCTATTTTACAAAGTATTGCCTGAGACATGTGGAAACTTTGTCATTTCCGGAAAAGGAAAGCAAAGCACTGACAGGTTAAACGCTTGCTCAAGTTCATAGAGACAGTAATTCTCTTTCACCTATTCATTGTATTAACAAATATTTATAAAAAGCGCTGCACGCCAGACACCAAGCTCCACGCTGGTACTTCTGTGTATGAAGAAGTAGACGGCAGAGAGCCCAGCCTTTCCCGGTGGGAGTCCAATTCCTCTCTGAGACCCAGGAGTCGCCCTAGACCGCCTCACTAGCAGCGCTCCCTGCTGGTTTCCCGTCCAGCACTCACCCAGGAAGACGTGCGCAAAGGAGTGTGGACAAAGCAAGTCCAGCACGTAAATGCCGCACAGAAGTACAACAAGGAGAAAAACACCAACCACTAGCTCTCTGCGGACTAGCCTGCTGCAAGGCCAAGACACACCCCTGATCCTAGCCCCACCCTTCGGCCAGGCTCCGCCCCACCTCCACCCACCACGCCGGGGTTCCCCTCAAACCCCAGCCCAGTCTATCGCGTCTCTGGCGAGCTCCCGCCACTCACGGTCTTCTGCCCGAGCTCCGCCTTCCGGGACAGCTTCGAATGCCGCTCCAAAGCGCTCGCGAAGCCGCCTTGGCGCATTTTAGGCTCTGTGGAATCGGAACTCTCACTCCCGGAGCTACTCTCAGTGCCTGCGCCTCGACAGGACCGAGAGAAGAGAAACACTCGCAGGAGATGGCTCTCGGCAGTTACGGCACGGGTCCGACACAGCGCCGCCATGACGGCTCCGCAACCTCTGACCTTGGACCTCTCCGCAAGCGCGCAGGCCACGGGGCGGAGCAACGAATGGTCCGCCCACTTGCCGAGCACTGGCGATCCCGGAGTGCGATGTAGTCGGTGCGGGGGACGGGGTAGGGAGGGATGGTTAAACTGAAATCGGTGAATTAAATCGTTGGAGCCTAGGGGTCACCTACAGGCAGCGATCTGCTAGGTTTTTCGTGGAAAGTGTTTTTGACTCGCAGGAATTTCGTTCCTCAGAGCATCGCTTGGCCCTTGTCCTGCCGCAAATTCTAGTAATGCGACACTTGCTAGCCCCGCCGCCTGGGTTTTACCCCAGATGGCCGCAAGATTTGTTTTTCGGGTCTCTGCTCGGATAACGAGGCTCTCCGTGAGTACCTTATTTAGAATTGGAACCCCACACTATCGGACTCCCCGGGTTTCCTTTGTACCATTTAGCATTCTCAATATTGCTATATAGTTTCCGTTTAATGTTGTTTTGCGTCTGCTCTCCCGAATTTGTAAACTCCTTGCTGCTGGATCCCTGACACCGGACACACAGTGGAGTCCAATGAATGTGTGTGAAATCCTGGATCCAAGTTTGTCTTTTTTCGCCTCTTCTGAGGTCGGTCCACTGATGTTCAAAAGTTAATCTTTCTGAGACGTTTTTGTCACCTGTAGATAGCTACAATTCCTTCTAAGTAATTACATTTCGGAATGTGCCTAAACAGACACCACCAGAGACCCCCACCCTCGCTCATTATTTTCTCCCTTTTCCTCATCAATGTTAATTCCCAGAATTCGCCCACCCTTTCAAAACCAAGCCTAACATCATACTTTAAAAATGTTCACAAACTAAGCTGTCCATCGATCTTCTATCAGTTTTATATTAATCCCTAGCAAGCCCCTTTACAGTTCATTTGCAAGTACTTTGATGGAAGGAATTTTTATGTATGACCAAAGCCCTAATTTTAATAGTATCTAACTACAGATTTTAAGTCTTTCTGATGTTCTCATCAATTGCATGGTTAGTACACAGAAAACTAGAAGTGCATTAACCTTGGAATGGTGCATAATTGTATGAATCACATACAATTTATTACTACTAGCCAACTGGGGGGTAATCGTTACAAATTCAGTAGGGGGCTTGAGATAGATTCTACTCCAGGGTGTTCTTTCTTGGCACTTAAGCTGTTTATTTCATTTGACCATTAATGATATCTTACCTGAGACATTTTTGCCTTGTTATCTGTGGCTATTGCTACTTATACTTCCCTTCAGGAAAAAGTGGTAAATTTGTAAAGAGCATTGGCCAGTGACTTCATGAACCCCTTAGTTCTAGTTGACTGTAATCCTGATCTCCGGCAAACCAATTTAATGTTGATTTGGCTTCCTCACTTGTAAAGCCAAGCCATTAGCCCCCCTGCTAAATTTTAAGTGCTTTGTAAATTTAACTAAATCAAAGCTACAGAATAAATGGGATTACTAAAGTCCCAGCTCTAAAATTAAATAGATATATTCATGTCCTACCTTAGCCAAATGATAAATTCCTTGAGGATTATGACAGTGGACATTTTGGGACAAATCCTGAGGTTTTTAATGTATAAAAGTTTGTATCAACTGATTTCAAGTTTGCTTAGTTCTTTCCCTTGGGTAGAACATTAGTATGAAATGAGAGGAACTGTAAAGGACTGGGCAAATCAAAAAGGAGATACCTACACTTTGTCCTAGCCTATACGAACACCAACTGTAACCATCAGCTCTTGATGGCACCTTAGGGATTCTGATCCTGCTCTACTTGCACCTCACCTTCCTTCTTGTTTTATTAAAAATACAATCCTTTTTCCCCTGTAGCTTGCAAATTGTTAGTACAGTTTGTAAAAATATTTGTAATGGTGGATGGCAAGGAAAGTGAACAGAATATAGTTCAAGTCCTGGCTCCACCTCTGATGGTTGTTAATCTCATTTATAAAATGGTTACACTGCCACAACCTTGAGCAAAGACTTAAGAGAAATGAGTCAAAATGCCCAACACTTACTGAAAGCTTAATAAATAGTGGCTATTAATGTCTGTGTGGAGGTGACCAGGAAGTGATTAGAAATTCCTATTTTAAAGCTTACATAAAAACCTAGAAAAAAGGATAGGACTAGTGATACACTGAGGAGATAATAGTATTACTCTAAAGATATTCATCTCTATGGCTGAAATGACTAAGATCATTAAGGAGATCATGTGTGGAAGATCAATAGGGACAGGCAGTAACATTTAAGGAGTTGGAAGAAGAGAATATCAGAAAATAGTCCAACTGGAAAATAAGAATAGAGAATTGATCCTAGAAACCAAGAAGACCAAAGCATGTTGAAATGGAGAGTGTTAAAGCAAAAGATCATACCCACTTACAAATATTCCAACAACAAAATTATGTTTGGTTTTTACTGTATGCTAGGAAAACCACCAAATTAAAAGAATCACACTACCAACTAAACTTATTCCGTAATCAAAATTGTATATGAGAGTTGGCAAGAAATTTAGTCACCAAGTAGCATTTATATAAGTACGAAATCCTGGCTGGTGATAGGTACATGCAGGCCCTGCCCTCTGAAGGCTTATAAACTAAGAGTTCTTTCTGCTCATTCTGATTTTGGTTCATTTTGATTTCAGAGTCTGAATAATATGGAAATTATCTGTATAAGATATGCAGGTTTACTTAAAAGTGATACTACTTTATATTAACTCTAACCCAACACAGTCTCTATAATTAATCCAATTACAATGGGACAGTCCCAAATTAATCGCCAAATGTTTCTTCGCTCTGGGCAAAAAAATCTGATTTTTCATCTGAGTCTTAAGAGCTATAAAGAAACACATGTAATGTTGACATAGGACCTTATGCAGCATCTCCTCTATATATATAAAGCAAAAAGTCACTTATAGTCAACATTTAACTTTTTCAGTTTTGATACACTAATTCCATATTGCTACTTATGGGGTTTTTTCCATATCTAGGATATGAAGTGTCTGGAGAAAAGTTGTAATAATGGACTCACCTCTTTCCTTGACACACAATACATACAAAAGAACCCATACCCAAATTACAGAATTTTTATTGTTTTCAAATACTATACAAAAAAAAAAAAATACAGTGTGCATTTAATGATAAACAGATCCAGAAACCATGATTCCAAACTAAAGGTGTTTTTTTTTCTTCTCTATTTCATAGTTTGAATTACTAAAAGAATAATCCAGTGAATTCTCTCTTCCAATGATTACTTTGGCCTCATAAGCATGAGAATTCTTGCTTTATTTTCCACAAACTCCATAAATTGAAGACAATCCTTTGTAAAAAGGGATTAATTTCAGGGATTATTTCCCTCTGTCACACTTCTTGTTCACTTAAACATCTGAGATTTCACTCTCAAGTTACTGTTTTCTTACAGTGTCAAACACAAAATTCAACAGAGTGACCAGGAACTCTCTGGTATTTTTAATAATTACTATGTTCCAAATTTCTTAAATATCTGTGAATTCATATTGAATATTCCACAAAGACTATTTTGAATATTTCTAAGTCCATATGTTTGTTTTTCTAAATTCAACCTCTCACTACTTTTTACTACTACTTTTAAGATGCAGAGTACTTTGCAAAAGATTAAATCATTTAAAATTAAGTATAGGTAGCTATCTGGAAAAGCGATTCTCCCAACTTCTTTCACGACCATCACCAATACCCACATACTCCCATCCCATTTTCCACTCCTTATTCTATCATTTCTCATTTAAAGTAGAGATCTGAATATATTTCACTCAGCTAAAGTTGAAAGACAGGAACAGGGCAGGACACCCAAGAAACAATGTGATGAAAAGATGATTAAAAAAAAGAAAGAAAGACTAGTTGGAAAAAATAATTTAACAGTTATGATGAGTAACCACAGTATTTCTATAAAAAGACAAATATTTTTACAGATCCAGTCCTCCAGGACAGCTCTTCAACAACTGGGGCAACTGCCTTAAAGCCTCATCAAGGAAATAATTTATACGTTAGTCTGACACCATTAAGCAGTGATTTAAAGCAGATAGTAAAAAAAAAGTTTTTTGCATAGACACCAGTTGATTATTTAATACAATTAAATAATTGTTTCCAGACCACTGGTCTCACAATAAATATTGAGACCTATACTACTGATAGACAGAATTTATTAGGCTATTCACATTTAATAGAGCATATTTTCAGTTGCATCTAAAGTGCTATAACAAAAGCTCTAGCAAATCAAGAATGGCAGCATGTTACTCATAACAATCAACACTTGTGGCTTTTCAAATTTGGTTTTCATAAGATAATTTATCCTGAAGTTAAATCTAGTCATGCTTTAAAAAAAAAAAAAAAATGCCTCAGGTCACTCCAAGCTTGGCAATTAACATTTGGCATAAACAATGCTAAAACAATCACAACTTGATAAATAACAAATACAACATTATAGGCCATAACTATACACAGAATAATGAAAAGGTAATAGTGATGAATAAGTAGCTAATGAGAAGAGAGTACCTTGGCCTCCATGCAGATACTTCTAGAGGCTTTGGTTCATTCAGCCCTGCCATTTTTTCAAAGTAGGGGGGCAACGTATACAGTATCATTTTATAATTTCTAACACATTGAAAACAAATAAGTAGAAAACAATGAGTTGATTTTCATTAATGCATTAAATCCTCAGGAGTTACCTACCACCAATCCCTTAGTATAAAATCTTTTCAAGTTACATTAGCCATACAACTTTGTGTGCTTCTTTTTAAATGGTGCTAAATGAATTAAATGAAGACAGCAACGTCTCCCCTAACGTGATTGATTTTAGCATTTTTACAGCTACTGAGATCTAAAAAACGTTCAGGCTTTTGAATGGAACAGGTGATGAGAGAGTGTTCATATTTCAACCTGCTGGTAATTACAATATGCCTGATTCAAAATGTTATTTTGCAACTTACTCTGAAACTAGAAATTTAGTCTCATGAAAAGTAATTTGAGAGAAGTGGCATAATAACAAATATACTGAAATGGTTACTGTCACAAATGGTGACGAGGATATGAGGGTTCCACTCTCAAGTTACCTAGGACTTTGAACCACTGCACACGTTGTCACTTACCAAACTGTAACAAATTGGATGTAGAGCTGATTTATTTAGTCTGCTGTCTTCAGACACAAAAGATACACCTTCTATCAGAACAATGCTTATTCAAAAATATTTTTTGTAGCTGGTCGTTCTTCCCTCAGAGGTAAAGAAAATTATGCCAAAACTTTTAATAACCAGGATTCAGGAAATTTTAAAGAAAATTTTAGTTAGTAATCGAATACACAGAGGTTCAAGAAGGAAACAAAATCATATTGAAGACAAAAATCAAAGTGGCATCCCAGATCCAGAGCAATTTTGTAAAGTAGGAAAGCAATTATGATAACCTGAAGCTCCTGAGATCATTCTAATGAGGAACCCCAGGGATTACCTGTGTTTTTATAATGGTGTTTCCTATATCAGGGCCCTTAAATGCACATTAAAGGGTGTTTCCGAGGAACAGAAGTGAAGATACTTTTATTTTGTTCAACCCACAAACTATTTGGTCAAATGAATATGTAAAGCTAAGTAAAAGCACATCTGGTGGAAATTCACAGCAACGACTGTTGACAGGATGTGCTTGGATCTTGCTTGCAGCATCTGGCAGTGGGTAGCAGAACAAAGGTAAGAACCTCATGGGCTCCCCTGCGTCTGTTCTGGAAGAGGCTCCGGGGCACTGGCATTTGCAGTTGAATTCAAGACTTCTCCAAAATCCCCGCCAGCCGGCTTGGTTCCCCCTACTTTAGACTTTTAAAAAAGTTCAAAAAGGACAAGACATCATGAAACATAAACTCAGCTGACTCTGCAAAAAAGTCACTCAAATTTTACTTTGAAGAACAAATCAATCCAGAACCTAATAGCCCAGTGACGATCATATATGTACAGAATTCAGTACTGTTGCAGTGTTTGGTGCAGTTTAATAGAAAATCGTGCGGGCTCCTCTGCGGAAATATGCAGATTGGTAGATTCTACCCCTCCTCTTTTTTCCCATCTGCTCATAGTTCTTCCCAGAAAAATCTGTCCGAAAAACTTCTTAAGACCTATTATTCTAAAATATCTATTGGAAGTCTCTTTATATTTGGATAACACTTTGTATTCCATCAGATTGTTCACTCAGCTATACTCATTCAAGAAATACTGAATACGACAAAGGAAAGAATTGTATCTGTTTTTCCCAGTTACAGTGTAAATTTCTTAACCCGCTGCTACTTAAAGTGTGGTGCAAGGACCCCCAGATGGACTCAGCGTCACCTGGGAGTTTGTTAGACATGTAGGATCAGACCAACTTCCCCACGCCCATCTACCGAGGTATCCAGGGGCTTCCTAGACAAAGTATAGTTTGTGAAGCACTACTCCAAATCTGGCCTGAAATTCTGTCAATAAACATGTGTCTGCATGAATAGGTCTGCCTTATATTTGTATCATACTTTATGCTTTTCAAAACCCTTATTATGTCACTTCATCCTTAATATACCTATGCTCTCTCTGTTACATCTCCTTACTGACCAACAGGAGAGCTAACATTAGGAAACTAGTCAGTAACCCACAATGCAACTCACAGTAGGTTTAACTTGACCCTGCTCGTAGTTCAGTCTTAACTGACTAGCCACAGACACATTATCAGTTGGAATTTAGTTGAAATTTTTTCTCACTCGCTTTTGGTTTCCCATCCGAATCTTTGAATTGTTTGGAAAATCTGCATGACTTGTGTCTACTGTATATTTATTAAATTTATTAAAACACATGTCTTAATTAGAGGAAAATATTAAGACCCTTGCAATTCAACATGTCTAACATTGAACTCCTCCCACAACTGGTCCCTTCTCTATTCTTCTTTAAGACTTTATTTTTTTTTAAGATTTTATTTATTTATTTGACAGAGAAAAAAATAGCGAGAGCATTAACACAAGCAGGGGGAGTGGGAGAGGGAGAAGCAGGCTTCCCACCGAGCAGGGAGCCTGATGTGGGGCTCGATCCCCCGACCCTGGGATCATGACCTGAGCCGAAGGCAGATGCTTAACGACTGAGCCACCGAGGCACCCCTTCTTTAAGACTTTAAATGGCTGTAGCACCTACCTAGTTGGCCCAGTCAGATACCTGGGAGTCATCCTTGATCCTTCCCCATCTTGTGCCACATTCAATCAATCACTGACTTTTGGGCTGTCGTTTCTAAATTCTAAATCTCTCTCAACCCATCACATCAGCACTACTTTAATTCACTCCACCACCATCTTTGGCCTGGATTACAACTCCTTCCTCCTAACTAGTCTTCCTGACTCCAATCTTCCTCCCCTCATATCTGCAGGGCACCAGTGATCTTTCTAAAATGCACAGGATAAACCACCCACATTGTTTAAAATCCTTTAAAGGCTTCCCATTGCCTTAAGTCCAAATTCTTTAGTGTGGCCTACCCATTGCCCTAGCTTCATCTCCTGCTCACTACCCTATAGCACAGCGAAGTTCCTGGTATTCCTCAAAAGAGCTCCAAAGCTCCAAACATTCCCCTCAACCTAAACGCCTCCATTTATATTACTGTGTCCTGTGAGAAGCCCTCTCCTACCTTCCCTCCTAGGCTAGGTCAGACATTCCTGGTACTGCTCCCCACTGCATCCCAGAGTTTCCCAGTCATGGCACCTTACCTCACTTTATTTTCATTGGCCATTAAACTGTCTACACGTCCTGCAGAAAGGGTCTCTGTCTCTTGCTCACTGTAGTATCTCCAGGGCCTACCCCCGGCACATGGCAAATGCTCAATAATCAGATCAATGAATCAATCCAAAATCTAAATCTGAAAGTACATGTAGACCTGATGTTTAATTGAATATAAATGTAATTTAGCAAAATTATATCCCATGTATACAACTATATTTTACAGGCCTTTGGGAGGATATCTGTTCCATAAACTTTACTTTTAAAAATTATAAGTTTTGGGGCACCTGGGTGGCTCAGTCGTTAAGCATCTGCGTTCGGCTCAGGTCATGACCCCAGGGTCCTGGGATCAAGCCTGGCATCAGGCTCCCTGCTCGGCGGGCCTGCTTCTCCCTCTCCCACTCCCCCTGCTTGTGTTCCCTCTCTCGCTGTCTCTCACTCTGTCAAGTAAATAAATAAAATTTTTAAAAACAAAATTATAAGTTTTTATCTGATCGGCACCTAATCATGTTTCAAAAGCCAAGTTTCACCACAATTTATAGAATCTATACTCAGAGGGAGAATATACAGTAAATGACCAGGATGTTTCTCCTCATCTTCAGTGTCAAAAGAATACAGCTGTCTGGTTTTCCAACCAGTCATTTCAAAAACTAATGCTTAAGGCAGACTTCAAGGAGAGGATTACGACAGACCTCAAACAGTGAGAACTGAATTATAATAAGCCTTGACTTCTACAATGTACCGTTTGTTTTCAAATACATGACCAGGCATTAAAAAGAATAAAGCAGGTCTCATACTGACCTAAAAGAACGACTAAGATATATTTTTTGCTCATCAAATATGTATTAAGTAGCTTCAATGTGCCAAGGACTATTCTAGGCCCTTGAGAAGCATCAGTGAGTAAAAAGAACGGGTCCCCATGTCTGTGGAATCACAGAGCACGTATGCTAGTGGGTCTGAATGAACAAGTTATAGGACTGTGTGTGCAGTGTGATTCCTTTCTGAAAAAATGTTTATACATTTAGGTATTAAGACAAAAGGTGTATATTCATGTTTGTGCAAGAAAAAAGCTCCAGGTCATGGGACAGTGTTTGGTTTTCTTTCTTTCTTTCCATAAGCATCCCCTGCTTCTGCAATTTAAGAAAGATGCATTTAGAAATAAGTGACTCAGTTACAGTTCTGAAAGACTAAATCTGAATATCTGTTTTTAAGCAGATTTATATAAAGCTTTTAAAATAATGCTTTTAATCCTTAAAAACATCTATAGTACTTATCCGATTTAGTTTAAGAAGAAAGGAAATACTCGCTTTGCACAAACTCTGTAGAGAAGGCTGGGCAGTGGATGGGAACTAGACAAACTTTCTGGTCACTTGTGATCCTAAGAGTTGATGATTTTATAATTTTGAGTATAATCTTGAAAATAATACAGTGTACAAATTAATAAAGCTAGTCATGGAAAAATGCCCACCTTTACTGAAATCAAAGCCATCAAAAAATAAAACCATGAATCATCAATAATGATCACCATGGCATCAGCATCTTAAATGTTTAAACAAACATCTTAAAGGACTGAACAAACAATATCTGTCATAGGGTACATGCAAGCAACCATTAAATATAATTTTGAAGAAGAATATTTCATGGCATAGGAAAATGTATATGTTGTATTTGGTTAATTCTTTTGTAAAGCACAAAGGTGTAGTCCTACTACATACATATCACTGACTCTAGGTGGTAGGACCAATGTTTCTGTGTGTTATTTTTTGTGCTTTTATAATGTTCTTGTTAATTTTCTACAATAAATTTTATATTAAATTTTATCTGGTTATAAAAGTATTTGAGTCAAAGTTCTCAAGTACTATACTGCTTTGGAAATTATACATTTCCTTTCAGCATTTAGCATCTGCCATGCTACAACATACACTCAAAAAATTGATTAAAAGAGAATATATCACCCATAATAATGTAGAGAATAAGGTTATTAAAGCTCTTTAAATACTTTTAGAAAGAAAGAGTAATGAGAATAATTTACCCACAGCAACAAAATTTAAGGTACTAAGTAAGACATCACTATTCATCTCTACTTGCCTTTAAGTTTTCAACCTTTTCTTCAAATGATTTGAAAGTTGGGGAGTTTCTGGAGAGAAAGAAAAAGAGTTATGTTACAAACACTTAACAAAAACTCACCAGTTTTGCAAACATGATTAGTTGACTGTATTCCTCTTTGCCATTATTCTCAATCAACGAAGAGACAGATATATTTAACTGTACATATGTGTGCAGGCATACACACAAATCTGCATTATTAGTAAGATGATCAATTTCTGGTCTAAGATTTCTACAACAATGCTTTCAGTTCCACAAACAGCCTGTCTCAGACATACAGGATAACAGAGTCAAGTACATGTGTGAGGAGAGAGAACAAAGGCCGGTAAAATATCAGTTCTGTCACTTCAACCATCTAGTCATGCCACTTTAATTTTGGTGAAGGTACTACACTCTAAAAGTCAAGTTTAAATTCCCACGTTGCCTGGCAAGAGTCCCACACAAACCCATATCCCCAAACAGGACAAGCAGACCACGTAAGATTCCATAAACAGGGATCCTGGTTCCCACGGAGCAGCATTAGAGCCGAGGAAAGAGAAACCAAAAGGAAGGGAGACACGAAGAGAGGTGGTTTTGTCTGCATCACAAAGCTGCCCCAGCTGACAGAGCACTCTGAGCCCAGGCGAACCCTCTCCCACGCCTTCACAAAATCCATCCATATTAATTAAGGAGGATCACAGCACCTTCGTTGTTCACATCTGGGTTTCTAAAACTTCTAGACTATTCACCTGACCTCGAATATCCTTCCTATTACCTAGATGAAAAAGGTGAAGAAGGGAACAAGGGGTTTCCTCCCTCCCACAGTGGTGATGGGCAGCCAGTCGCAAGGGGTGGGGCCCCAGATGCATCAGTAGCTCCTGGGAAGCTGCTTGCAATGCAAGTTCTCAGGTCCCACCTCAGGCCTATAGAAATCAGAACCCAGAGGTGGGGCCCAGTGAGCAGGGGGTTTAACAAGCTCTCCAGGTAGTTCTGATGTATACTGAAGGTTAAGCCAAGCATATCTTGTTAAAAATTCTCTGCCTCTCTAGAGAGGTTAAGTGCGGTAATAACATACACCACTTGCACGTGTTTCCTGATGAAAGTGGACTGTGGAATTAAATCACAGTTGGCTCCAAATGTCACAACGGGATGAGGGAAGTAGAAACGGAAGAAAAGTGGAGCAACTAAAGCTAATGCAGACAGGTGTGGTGGGACACCTTTTACACAATCTGGGGAAAAACAGCTTTATTAGATGAGTCGTGTTCACTTTTTCAATGAAGCAGATTAAAGATATGAAACAATGTTATGGGTTTACAAAATGCAATAGAGATAATTCTTTTTTTTTAATCACAAATCTTTAATGGATCTCTTGCACCCAACTTAACATCATAGGAAGAGCGGCTGAATACTGACACAGTGTGGATGCGCAGCTTACTTAGAGCAGAACCCCAGGTCCCTACTTCAGAACAGTTCAAGTTAAACATCTAAATAAAGACTAAGAAAGCATAAGATCAATTACATTTTGTAAAAATATACTTTACCTCATAGCAGGCATGCTAATTGAATGTTGAATGGAGCGGATACTAAGAGGCAGCATTAAAAAGAGATAGACAAGAAGTTAGTACAGTGATTAGATGTTATAAAACCTTGCTTTCTAGGAGCTTATTCTTTGGGCACCATGAAGACTTAGTCTACTTTTTGAGGTGGAGGGGATCAAAGTTATTCCAACATTATTTTTATTTTGAGCCAATTTTAAAATTTTTTTAATTTTTTTTTTAGTTTGTTTATTTATACAATCTTTACACCCAACATGGGCTTGAACTCATGACCCCAAGATCAAGAGTCACATGCTCCACCAACTGAGCCAGCCAGGCACCCCCTTCATGAGCCAATTTAACCCACATAGTTAATAGAACTAATAATTCACCCTTGCATTTTATAGCACTTTGAAAACTCTACAGAGCTTTCCCCTGTGTCTATAGGGCTTCTAGCACCAAGGCTCAGAAGTTAAATGATTAACCAAGGTCACAGCAGAATCCAGAATGGAACCTGGGTCTTCGGGACTCCTAATTCAATGTTCACCGCCTCCCCTCAAAAAACAAAGCACACACAGGCAAATACATGCACAAGTGAGGCCAGTGAAGGGTTCCAGCAGCTGCCTTTCTCGCACAGATTTGTGATCAGACCAAAATAAATCACCTATTTGACGACTTCAAGTGAGATTCTTAGATCACACCTTAGGAGTAGTATCAGTTTTCTAATAACAGACACTTGTACTTCAACCCAATTAACTAAATGTTCTTAATGCTCATTCAAATAACATTTGGCCCTTTGTTTTATTGGGACCAACTTCTTTCTCTAGGGCAATGCAGTTCACCGACCATTCAGGTTCAAGGCTATCTACTCTCAGCCATCTCCCATAGAGACCGCACCACAAGATGAAAGCACTTTAATTTGGGGGCTCACAAAGTCACTTCACTGTAAATTGATGATAATGGTTGCTGTCCTTGAAATATTCTGATGACTGACAGAGAGTTTTTGGTAGGAAATCTTTCTTTCGGTTAGGCGGGACAGTCCAAGGTATTCTCAATTATATTTGAGTATTGCGTGTGTGATTTAGTTTTCTCAAAAAAAAAATCAGTTGCTACAAATGACAATGTGTTTCAAGAGAAGCTCCCCCATCTAGTTTTGCACTAATATGTAATGACATGGGAGTATGATCTTGATATAAATCAAAATATGCTGGCAGTTCACATAGTCAAAATAATTGGTAAAATATTTGGATATCTTCATACTTAAAGTCGTGCATGACACATGCAAAGATCCATATTGCTCACCATTCTCTCTATACCATAAGAGTGGTAGATACCTTGGGTATAAGACTATTCTAGGAGAAATTTGCTAATTCTTTTCCTGCTTGATCTACTGCAGTGGGCTAGATCCATATTTGAAGGATAGAGATAAATAAAAATCATCCTTCTTAGTTTACAATTCTAATTGTATTAATTACAGTAGTTTACAAGAGTTTAGACCCTTCCAAAGAGTCTGTCTGTATAATCACATTTCCACAGCCGCTTTCATCATCATCAGTGATAATAACTGGATCAGTAGAGCTCCAACCACCACAACTAACCTCCTGCTCATCTATAAACTGTTTGGACTGAATGAAAAGAAAAAGAAAAAAAAAAAAGAGGACAATTAAGGTTCTTATCCTGGGATTTTGTAATTAGGACGCTAAGCCACTGGTCAGTTAGTGGCTAAGTACACGAGCTTAAAAAGTTATGCAGGCTTAAATGTTGAGGAAGACCTTTTTTGGGACCAGGAAGGGCAAAGTTGCAAGGAAGCAGAGGAAGCCAGTTCCCAAAGAAAGGACTGAATAGAAGCACAGAGAGAGGTAGAGGAAAGGAAGGAGAGATGACCACATGGGGGGTGGGGGGGCAGGGTTGGAGAGGAACAGTGGTTTTCTTGGTTCCTGGAAGCGACCTTCATTTCTACCAGCTTTCCAATCAGCAGGGCGAGTCTGGGTGGATCCAGGGCTTGCTTCCTTCCCTTCCTTGGATTCCAAAAGAACTCTCTTTCTGTGCACCACCTTCCCCTTCTTGGGTCAGCTAATTTACACAATATTTTGTTCCTCATAACCAAGACTCTTCACTAGAACATTCATTTTGGCAGAAATTACCAAATTCTGGCAAAAGAAGGAGAGTTATGGCTGAATGTGTGATAAACTGCTTTTTCATGCGACTCACAGACTGAATTCAACAGTATCAATAAAATGAAGAAAAAGGTAGAGAAAGGGCAAATTTCAGAAATCCATGGTTAATTTTTAGCCACTGTCCCTAAGCACCCACGTAAAAGCTCATTCCTTCCAATGGCCATTTGGGGAGCTCTGTGCCCCCTGAACCAGCATACAAGCTAGTTAAGAGGGAACGGGTCAAAGGCAAAGTGGAAGAAATAATCGTAAAATGCATTCTCAACGCATCAAGTTGACCACAGGAAATTCAACATCCGGGGCACAAGTTACTTCAGGATTATCCTACAGAAGAAATCAGCCCTGGGGTCATAAAGGTTGAAAAATGGAATTGTAAACGTCACCTGGAATTATCAGGGGATGGAGAATGGAAACAAGAAGGCAGTGGAGAGCTATGCATGAGTTTAATCAAGGGGTCTCCGCCGATTCGGTAAGAGATAGATGGTAATGGAACATCAATGCAAGGAGACGTCAGGAAGAAAGGGGAAACCGACAAATACGGCAAATAGGAGAAAACAGTAATACTGGAAATACAGATAATATTTTACATGTTTGATTTTACAGAAAACCAAGTCAGAAGTTGATAATTTGGGGCACTTAAGTCATTAAGCACCTCACAGGCCCCAGTGATTCCTGCAACGTGACTTGACTTAAAGAAGAATGTTAAAAATGATCACTCTGAGGGACGCCTGGGTGGCTCAGTCGGTTAAGCGGCTGCCTTCGGCTCAGGTCATGATCCCAGGGTCCTGGGATCGAGTCCCACATCGGGCTCCTTGCTCAGCGGGGAGCCTGCTTCTCCCTCTGCCTGCCTCTCCCCCTGCTTGTGTTGTCTCTCTCTCTGACAAAAAAAAGATCACTCTGAGAAGTCTAAGAAACAATGCAGCATCTCTTGTAAAGGACTTTAGGGTCCTACTTGCTAGTGCTGAACTTCAATTAGCAGCAAAGACAAAGTGAAGAATACACACACTTAATGTTTACGTGGGAATACATAAGGAAAAGCAAGGAAGTGGTAACGATAAGCTGTTTATTTTGGGATAAACACTGAGTTGAATTTGGTTGTGAGCATTTTTCTATGTGTTTTATACTTCACAGTAAGATTCAAACTACACTCACTGAACAGAGAACGAAATCAAATTAATACAGATGCATACAAAGTACGGGTCTCCCGGCATTTGAGGTAGCCATTTTAGTGGGGAGAGCAAGGAGTTCCTAGCAATTTCAAGTCCACTCAGTTATTTGAACTTTTCTATAATCCATATTTAGATGAAATTCCATTTTGTTGGTGACTAGTTTGTAATTCAACTATAGGGCGGCTGTTCTCGCACTTCTAGCTTCCCTATGGAAAGTTACACAAAGCTTCAACGTGCCTCAACTTACCTAACTTCTCCAATTTCCCCAAACTTTAAATATAATACAGAAAACTTCAGAAGCAAAAAGCCATGTTGCTGTTGGACCAGAACCATCTCTAAGAGATATATTGTGAGGAATAGTTAAAACCATACAGCAAATTTTGTTAGAATTTTTCCAGCTTGGTTGGTAACCCTTAAATAGAGTATCAAAAGTAGGAATGTAAATCTGCATTCCTCAAAACCCTGCCCAAAAAAGAAACCACTCACTAAATGCTTCTCTACTTTATATTTCCTCCTACTTTAGAAGTTACTCTTTTTAAACGCTGAATGGATTTTTTTACATTTTCCTTGTTTCTTACCCAGTTACTTGATCTCGTCACCCCTAATCACTATAAAGGAGGAGGCATAAAAGGAGGGAGGAGGAGGGAAGCAATAGGTGGGACACAGACAAAGGGGAAGGGTGAACGTAACATGCTTACTGTGCACCAGGCGCTCTATCTGTGTATTATTATGCCATTTTGCCCTCACAATAATTTCTTGACTGAAAGTGATAAACCAAAGTAACTGCCGGGCAGTGCCTAGAGAGGCATATTCTTCAACTATCGTTGCTCTGGGGAGGCAAAACAACACAGAGAAGAAGAATGCAGGCTCCAGAACTAGGGTGTTGCCTGGGTTCAAATCTCAGCCTTCAGCCACTTAGCTGTGTGACCTTGGGGACGTCACTTAGTCTCTCTGTGGCTCGGTTTCTTCATCTGCACAATCAGAAAAACTAACAGCACCTACTTCAGAGGGACTATACAGAGCCTTGCCTGGAACATAATTTTTCACCATTATTACTACTACTACAGATGACTTTAATGGAAACACACATTAACATTTATTTCACATTAGATTATATTCTTTAAAACTTTCACAATGCACATTTCAAATTGTTATTTCAGTGGCAACTCGAACCACACAGCCCAGACCAGAGGCTGGCACGTGGTTAGCGTTCAAACAAATATTTCTGAATGAAAGAATGAATGAATGAACAACTGTGGTAACTAAAATTAGGAAATATGGGCATGAGAGGTAGAAAAGTTCAATAAAGCTTCCCAAATTCTAATCAAGAAGTACTCTCTGAAAGAGAAGACGTCATTTCTTTTCCCATTAAGTGGTGGAAATTTTCAGCAAAACAGAATTGTCTGGAGTAACTTTAATGAGCCCAAAACAAACAAAAAATATGTAGAGGTTTATATAAAGAAATAAACACATAAAAAGGAGAAACTTCCTTTGGAAATAAAGGCAAAGTTAATAAGCACTTCCTCCTAAATAAATCAAAGGTACTTGACTAACGAGGCTGCTGAATTATAACACTAAAACTGAGGTTTAACACTGGCACCAAGGAAAATGAGAAGGCTCTTTCAAAGTTTCTCTCAAAAAATTAAAGGCATGAGTCAATGCTCAGCATGTATGTGTAGAAAATAAGCAAACAGGAGAGGGGTGGATATGAACGGACTACCTGGTGGGGCGGGGGGAAGCTGGCTGTCCCCAAAGGGCCTCCCAGGATATTCTCGTTACGCTGACCCATGTCTGGCCCCCAGACACCTAACTCTCAGGGCATTCAAAACAGATCTCTCTGTCTCTCTTGTTTTCTCTGCTTCCTCCTCCTCACACACCCACTTGAGGTGTTAGACAAATATCTAAATCCCAAGTGCCAATTTATTAATTGACAATGTGGCATAAAAACTGTTGCCGAGTCTAATAATTCACGTCAGCAAATCATCCACAATCCTGTCAGAGAGTGAAATCATTGCCTCAAGCTTGCTGGGTAAGCATGGACTCAAAACAAAGGATATTTGACAGGATTAACCAACTATTTCAAGCACTTGGCAAAAGAAGCCTCTCGCATCCATCTCCACGGGAGCAAAGGCCTTGCTGGGACTGAAACCCTCAAAATCTATTGTCCAAGCGCCCTCTCCTTGGACGGTTTCTGGGGCCAGTATTTGCTCCCTTGACTCAATGATCTAAAAGATGTGGTCTTTCTTTATATAGGTTTTCTATTATGTATGTTTTTATGTATTTCTATTATCTATGTTTTCACATATTTGTATGAGATATGAATACATTAAATCAAATTACGATCAGGGCTTCTTGACCTAGAAATGATTTAAGTGTCTTTAGCCAACTTTTAATCTGTGAGAATTATAAAATTTAGCTTTCAGAAGATAATCTCATGTCTCTGAATTTCCAAGTTTTAATCAAAAGCCTTACTTTAACCTCCATGTATCAATACATAATATATTATTAATGGAGGATAGTCAGAAGAAAGGCAGGCAGGGGCAAGGGGCCCGTCCTAAGAGGATTACTCTACACAACCCTGGAAGGGACCCTACACCCTTTCCCACGTGAACAACTCCCTGGTAGGTAGATGAGCACATGGACAAAAACCCGATTGGGTGACAGGTGTAGGGAGGGTTAATCGGATTAAAACAGCCCGCCAACAATCTCATAAAAACCCCTAGACTTAGAAACGCCAACAGCAACCCTCTCAGGTGCCCTTCCTGTTCTTCAGGATCTTTGGACTATCCCTCAGTAAACTTAACTAATCACTCAATAAACTTTGCTTTGGTGCCCACCACTCTTCATCTGGTCTACCTCTTCATTCTTCAAAGCGGCGTGACCAAGAACCATGGGCACTGAAGGAAAAGAAATCCTGAAACATTATTAGAAACAGGACTACAGGGGGCACCTGGGTGGCTCAGTCGGTTAAGGACCTGCCTTCGGCTCAGGTCATGATCCCAGGGTCCTGGGAGCAAGGAGCCTGCCACTCCCCCTGCTTATGCGCTTTCTCTCTCTCTCTCTCTCAAATAAATAAATAACATCTTTAAAAATCTTTTAAAAAAATAAGAGAGAAAGAAACAGGACTAAAAATGGTAGGGTATAATCTCAGTTATACATATCTGTGTATATATATACATATATATTTTTTTTAAAATTTATTTCTTTATTTTGGGGGGGGCAGAGAGAATCCTCTAGCAGACTCCCCACTGAGCATGGAGCCAACTTCGGGCTCAATCCCAGGATCCATGACCTGAGCCAAAATCAAGAGTCTGATGCTTAACCAAATGACCCGCCCAGGTGCCCCTCAATTATATTTTTTAAATGAAATGAAAAAGTGACAGCCTAAGGAGCTAGAAAAGATCGGCAATACTCAACCTGTTCTGGTCAATTAATAAGACAGCACATATTGAGCCATCTTATGTACCTTTGCTTAATCTTCTTAAAGATATACAGCAAGAACAGGGACACGTACTGATGAATCATTCCTCAATAGCACTTACATAAATATTCTTATATTTTTGTTTCTATCACATCTAACATTGTTTTACATAATCCAGTGTTAACAGGGCTCTTCTAACTTCACCCACTCCAGGTCCCCACTTCCTTTCCCCACTGCATCCACTCAAAGATTTTTAAGGTCTTTCTGTACAAGAACCATATCTGATTTATGGTTATATTCTTTGCACCTGTCCACAAAATGCAGTCTAACGTGAGCAGGATGGACTATGTGACGGAATACCTATTCACTCAACTCAAACAACCTTAGATAACATGGTCTTAACAGCTGCCTAGAGCACATGGGACATTTTTAATTGACTACCAAAGATACAGAATCCCCTCCTATTGCTGATTTTATTTTATTTTTTTAAAGCACAGTTTTAACTTTAAATAATTCAGCATTTAGAGTTGATTTCCTCTGACTTCCAGGGCCAAGTGTCACTAGGACAGAAAAACTTCAGTTCTAAGTACATGTTTCCTTAAGAAGACAGACTATAGCGAGTGACTGCTTGAGAAGACAGCTCGCGTTTGCGGGAACAGAGATGGAGACTACCGTGTTGCCTTTCCTGCCTACACCCTAAAGTCCTTCCTCCAACTTCGTTTTCTCTATTAATTGGATAAAACAGTCTGTATGGGAGACAGAGAAGAGGTTTGTTTAACATCACTAAGATTCCTTCTATAAAGCATGGTTTGGGCTGACATCTTTTTAATGTGCTTTTTTTTAGCCTAGACTATTTTTCCTATTGCAACCATGAAATTTCCTTACATGTATAAAGGATAGAACTAGTGTAAAGAAATTAAAAAATAGTTAAAAACTATAAGCTAGTAAAACAAGCATTGAAAAGTTGTATATTTTATCTTACGTATATTTTACCACAATAAAAATAATATTCAGAGTCACCTGTGTAAGTCGGGAGACTAACATCACGAGGCAGTACATATGCAGTCTATTACAGATACATAATGGGACCACGTGAAGGAGAATTCCAACATCCTTCCAAAAGCACCAAAGAAATTAAAGCATCAAAAACAAACAAAGTCAGACATTAAAAGGGAGGAATTCTGTATGCCATGGTTAAGCTGCTTCTTTTTACCAAAAAAAAAAAAAAAAAAGTAAGAAATGTCAAAATCATTTCCATATCCCTGAACCACAGTGTCAAATTATTCTTTTAATTTGTCCGTTACCCATGGGATACAAGAAACCCTCCCTTAAAAACAGGTATGCACTAGAGAAAAAGATATTCCAAATGCAAGAAAAAGTATGTAGTAGACAAACACAACCATCAAACATGGCATAATAATCTAATTAAGCACACTTGTTGTCTTAGACACCGGCTAAGCTGAAGGGATGGTTCAAGCTCTCCTTACCTAAAGGAATGTGAAAAGGCTTGCAATCTGCAAGAAGCCGCAGTAAGCATTAAAAAAGAAAGGAAGTTCTGGTAAATCTAAAACAATGAAATAACCTACTTTTTTAAAAGTTGTGTAAGGTTTTAACTGGACTCTAAAGTGCTACACAATCAAGCTGGCATAAAAAGAAATGAGAGCACCAACGAGAGGTATATAAATTGTCAAAAGAATCCCCGTGAGCTATGTTTATTACACAATGCTTAAAATGATGACAGTCCAGATATAATAAGCAAGTCATTTGGTTTTTTGGTACAGAGTAAATAATACATTGATTGCCAAATTTATTCAACCAATCATTCCCCACAAACGAAAACACAACATCATGCAATCTGAGGGTTTTGTTGGTAAAACAAAAAAACTTTCATGCCAACAGAAGCACAGCAAATTTAAACCATGTTTGTCACTTTCAGAGCTATTCTAATCAACATGGGGGGAGCTGCGGGGGGGGGAGACACACAAAAACACTGTGAAGTGGTTTTATCGAAATTGCCACAAAAATTCTGCAGACTAATCTACAATATAAATGCAAAATGAAAGGCAAAGCTCAATAACAAGATCTGGGCCTAAGCGTGGATGTAGAGAGAGCTTACAAATTAGTACACATCAGTACACAGATAAGCATGTCATAATCACACCACGGTATAACAATGTCCCACAGAACTGAAGGCAGGTCTCAGTCCAAGCGTGCAGTCAGTGCTCCTGGATGCGTCCCCAGCAGGACAACAGGCTCGGCCCACAACCACAAACTTGCAACTACGAGAGACATACTTACCCTGCAGGATCAGGAAGGACCAAAAGGGCAAAAGTACACAACCAGAATTTTCCAACAACCTTAAATGTATTTGTAAGATGATTATTTTGAATGCTATGCCTAAAAGTTAGAAGGCTACACCTAAAATAATTTAGGCAATATTTCAGGTCTGGTTTGAAGGAGTGGGCTCCCTCACTAGAAAAGAGGAGAATCCAGCATTATCCACAGCCCAAGTCGGGAAATAAATGCAACCACAACATACTTTAATTTGCCTCAGCTACTTAATGAGCAAGGAGAAATGAGGACATACTTTACATCTTCCAGCTTTTTGGTGATGACTGATCCAACAGATGAGAAAGCAGCTGACGCCTTCTGTCCAGCCTGAGATAAGGTTTCAGACGTCTTCTTGTATCTACATTGAATTATAAAAGAACAAAGAAAAGTTAAGCTAACCTTTTCTAATAGCAGTTATTTAAAGCACAATCACCAGCTCTTGGAAAGCTCTCAAAAATTAAACAAATTTTTTTTTTTAGAACATCCAAACTCCTTCACAATCACCAGGTGGGCATCATCAACTCGCCGGCTCCTCACCCCTCATTTGGGTGCTGTCTTCAGCAGTGCCCTAGGATGGCCACATAGACAGATGCCTATAAAGGCAGGGCCAAGGAAATCAGGGTACAGAGCAAAAACAGTCACGGAGAAACAATGAAAATGAGCCAGAGGCTGAAAGAAATTATACCTCTTATTCTTTTCCACTGAAGCCAAACAAAACAAAAATGAAATCAAATTCCTCACATGCCTTTTATAACTTTATCTCCTAAAAAGGGACCAGAAGCAAGGTAAGGCTCATGTGTACTTTATTATTCAAATAAATCGTATGGGCTATAAATAATTTTTGGGGGGGGGGACATGTCTGCAGAGCTACCAAATAAGGACTTGCAGACTCTTGGCAGAGTACGTGTAAGGGGCGACACTCAAAATGACTTGAGTGTGTATCTGCGAGGACATAAAGCTAGCACTTACCACCTCCCTCTCCCCATCTACCCGGGGATCAGTGAAGGGAAAATAAGAACAAACGAATATGGTAGCCACGAAGAGGTTAAGATCCTCACGTTATACAAAGGAATGCTCAGGCATTTTTACTTATCCCATCAAGATGAAACACTAAAAACAAAAAGTTTATGGCGCTACACAGTCAAAGAATCGCTTCCTGGACTTCTGTGGGTAGAAAGTGGCTCAAAGGGGATGGACACCCTAGTGCTGTCCTGTCAGGATGCCGTCAGCCTCACTGTTGCTGGTCACCAGCTCAGCACCGGGGACTAAAGACACAGATGATAAAGAATACACATCAGAATCTGTTCCTAGAAGCTTGCTCCTCCTGGTGCTGGGAAACACAGCTGCATTGTGATAATGCCATATCAAAATCTGTGTAATCAAAAAGACAAGAAGATTAAGGGGCTTCTGCCACCAGCACCTAGGAGAGGCGATGAGCCAAGAGTCTTATGCTATGTATAGAGCAGATGAAGAAAGACTTGGCTCTGTACTTGGTCAACCCTGAGTTCAAATCCTGCCCCCCACATTTCTGAGTTTTGTGACCTCAAACCTTACCTGATCCTGTTTTCTTATCTCAGGCTACCTCACCTCCCACCCTATTCGGTCATTTTGAGGACTACGTGACACATTTTTGGCAAGTCAATATACAACTGTTGGCACTTAAATGTTATGACTTCAACTCACAGACGAGGCTGGGTTTTCTTTCTACCCCCTAGAACAGTGTGGAAGACCAGAGTTAGAGAAGAGTCAGGTACACTTGAGGACTGGGCGGGGAGAGCCCTGTGTCGTACAAAGAAAAGTTGCAGAAGCACCCTCATCGCCTTTCAATTCTCCTGCCCAGACAAAAGGAGAAGTGTCCTTTACATTCTCTAGAAAAAGGTAAGGATCAAGGGAACATACGCAGATGTTGCTGTCACATCCTGCCAGCCTTTGGCAATGTTCTGTTTTAGTTCCTGTAGTGAATTGATCCCAAGTTTCCGTTTGATCTCTGCTAGATGCTTCTCTTTTGCTGCTAACACTTGAGACAGAGTCTGGATTTCTTCTTCTACCTATGAGGAAGGGGGGGTGGGGTAAAAATACAGCAAGAGTCATTCAATAAGTGAAGATTATTAATGCCAAACTGTGCTCAAAATTCTAGAGTCATTTAAAACCATATTTTGATTCATTTATCTGTCTCTTTAAAAACAACATAGAGCGGGGCGCCTGGGTGGCTCAGATGGTTAAGCGTCTGCTTTCGGCTCAGGTCATGATCTCCAGGTCCTGGGATCGAGCCCCATGTCAGACTACCAGCTCAGCAGAGGGTCTGCTTCTCCCTCTCCCTCTCCCCCTACTTGTGCTTTCTCTCTCTCAAAAGAATAAATAAAATCTTAAAAAAAAAAACAAAACCAACATATAGCATGTTGTTAAGTAAACTGGTTACATGCCCATCTCTCCTATAAAGCTTCTCTTTTCTTTTTTTTTTTTAATTTTTTTTTTTTTTTTGGAGAGAGAGCATGCAAGTGGGGGGAGAGGGGCAGAGGGAGAGAGAGAATCTCAAGCAGGCTCCATACCCAGTGCAGAGCCTGACATGGGGCTCCATCTCACGACCCTGAGATCATTACCTGAGCTAAAATCAAGAGTCTTTTCTCTTCTTTCTATTTCCATCTTGAGTTGTCCTCAGGCTTCTCTCTCTCTCTCTCTCTCTCTCTCTCTCTACTTCCTTACTCTGCTATCTCATGGAAGCTTAGGGCTCAAACCTCCACACAGATAATATTCAAATTATTCTAACATCCACTCTTCTGACCCCTGGTCTGCATTTCCAGATGGACACTTCCACCTGAATGCCCACAGAACTCCTATTTGTGTACCAAATCAAACCACTCTCCACTCTCCACTAAAACATGCACAGCCAAGCCAAATCGAAATCCAACCTTCCTGTACATTTCATATGAGTTTATACTGGAAATGTCTGTCCCAGGGCCTGCCAAAGCCACAGCCATAAGTAAATCAAACTGTCTCCCCTAGAGAGCCCCACAGAAGTCCCGTGTGGACCCCTTGATGCTGACCAACCAGCCTTAGCTGGACGGTTAGAGAGGTAAGCCCCTGACCCAAGGGCAGCTAACCAATTGAGTGGCTACCACCAAGTGATGTGCCTGCTGTAAAAAGATGCTCCACTAATCATGGTCTCTCTCATTCAGGAATCCAGTTTGAGAAACTGAAATAACACTGGGAGTAGAAGCTAGAAAGACTTGGATAAAGAAGCCCTAAAGTACAGGTAGGGCACAGTGAGATGAGGAGATATGGAAGCTTAAAAATATTTGAGGAGGCCAAAACTCTTAAGCGGAAGCTAGGAAGAACAGAAAATGACTTAGAGAACAGAAGAAAAGCCCGAGTCAGAAATACAGAGGGCAAGAGGCAGACCCAACAGGAGAAAGAGAGCTCACTCGGAAGAGACCTTCTGTCCCAGGAAGTTGAAAGAGTGGGATGGTCATTAATATTCAAGACCCTTAAGAAAGACGGCTTCTCTTGGCTTGTTGCAAAGCCATATTCTCAGCCTCGATCTCACATTTCTATGATTCCAAAGACAGCATGGCCTTTGAAAACAATAACAGTGGGGGCACCTGGTTGGCTCAGTCGGTTAAGTGTCCAACTCTTCATTTTGGCTTAGGTCATTCATGATCTCAGGGTCCTGATATCGAGCCCCATGTTGACAAGAGTTTGCTTGTCCCTCTCCCTCTGCTCCTCCCCTCCCCGAATAATTAAAAAAAATAAAATAAATAAAAACACATAGCATTGTTAAATAAACTATTTTCACTGCTGATTAAATCCGTACAGAACACAAAATGAAGAAAAATAGTACTCAACAAAAGGACAGAAGAATAAATCAAATGTGAAGTGGCTAGCAAAACATAGTTTTTGTTTTTTTAAGATTTTATTTTTATTTATTTGAGAGCACGAGAGAGAGGGAGAGGGAGAGGGGGAGGGAGAGAGAGAGAGAGAGAGCACGTGCACAAGCCGAGGGGAGGGGCAGAGGGAGAGGGAGAAGCAGGCTCCTAGCTGAGCAGGGAACTGGATGATGCGGAGCCTGATGCAGGGCCTGATGTGGAGCCCGATTCCAGGACCCTGGGGTCATGACCTGAGCCAAAGGCAGACGCTTAACCAACTGAGCCACCCAGGCGCCCCAACAAACAGTTCTTAAGAGGGCAGTAATTAGAAGGTAGGTCCAGAACAAAAATAATCCTCTGTGCTTGTCAGCCAGGACCTCTCATTCTGTACCAGTTTTGGAAGTCACATTTAAGTGGAATATGAAAAGAAAAAGGCAACAATGAATGAATGAGGTTCAAAATCAAGTAAATTAAATGATTTGCCCTAAATCATCAAACTAATAATGTAGGAACCACAATTTCAAGCCCAGGTCTTCAGGCTCCACTTCTCAGTTTACTGGCTAATCCTCTTTGCACACTTATTAGCTTTCCAATATCTCCTTCTCTATCCCAACTCCAACTTTTCATATACTCCAAAGAACAGACTTAAAAGATAAATACCCCTTGACACTTCCCTGAAGTTTCCTTTCCCTAATGACAGTTGAAGAGAAAGACCACTATAAATCTTACTGGACAATACATGACCCAGTGCATTCCCCACCTTTGTTGGTTAGATTGTGCTGCCAACGTACCTAGCTCAACACAGCACAGCTATCATTCCTTAATTCAACATATGTATTACATATTATATATATATATATATATAAAATACACATATTTTAAAAATAGGAAAAATATATATATTAAAAGAATGACCTTTAAAGCACAAAGAATATATCTGATAAGGATCTAGTATCCATAACATATGGATAAAATACTTAGGAATAAATGTAAGGAAATATAAGACTCGTACACTGAAAACTACAAAACACAGCTAAAAGCAAAATTAAAGACATCTTAAATAAATGGAAAGATATTCCATGTTCAATGACTGGAAGACTTCATATTGCTAAGATGCCAATACTCCCCTACATCAACCTACAGATTCAATAAAAGCCTTATCAAAATCCCAAGGGCACATTTCGTGGGTAGAAAAGTAGATTCCAAAATTCATAAGAAACTGCAAAGGACCCTAAACAACAATTTTGGAGAAGAATAAAAAGGTAAAGAACCCATACTCCCCAATTTCAAAACTTACTACAAAGCTATAGTAATCAAAATGGTGTGGTACTCTCAGAAGGATAAACACAGAGATGAATGTAATAGAACTGAAGGTCCAGAAATAAACCTTTACATCACTGGCAATTGATTTTTCACAAGGATGCCAAGAGCATTCATTGAAGGTAGTATCTTCAACAAAGGGCACTGAGAAAACTAAATATTTACATGCAAAAGAAAAAAGGTGGACCTCTACCACAAACCATAAATAAAAATTTACTTGAAATAGATCAAAGGCTTAAATATAAGAGCTAAAAATCTTAGATTAAAACATAGGGGTAAATCTTCACACTCTGAGCTTTGGAAATGGGATTCTTGGATATAACACCAAGAGCACAAGCAACTAAAGAAAAATTAGATTTCATCAAAACTTAAAACTTACATGCATTAAGACACTGAAGAAAGTAAAAAAACAACATACAGAATAGGAGAGAATATTTGCTAATCATATATCTGATAAGGGTCTAATATCCAGAATATGTAAAGAGCTCTTGTATCTCAACAAGAACAACAACAACAGAAAAGAAACAAAAACAATTAAAAGAAGGGATGCCTGGGTGGCTCAGTCGTTAAGCGTCTGCCTTCGGCTCACGTCATGATCCCAGGGTCCTGGCATTGAGCCCATGTCGGGCTCTCTGCTCAGGGCGAAGGCCGCTTCTCCCTCTCCCACTCCCCCTGCTTCTGTTCCCTCTCTCACTGTCTCTCTCTCTCTGTCAAAATAAATAAATAAAATCTTTTTAAAAAATAAAAACAATTAAAAGAAAAACTGGGCAAAGGATTTGAATAGACATTTCTCCAAAGAAGACAGACAAATGGCTAATAAGCAGGTGAAGGCTCAATATCACTGGTCATTAGGGAAATACAAATCAAAACTATAATGACATACCACTTAACACTCACCAGGATGCTCATAATCAGAAAGAAAATAACAAATGTTGGCAAATATGTAGAGAAATTGCTGACTGGGATGAAAAATGGTGTCCTTGCTCTGGGAAATAGTTTGGTGGTTCCCCAGAAAAGTTAAACACAGAATTACCACTTGATGCAGCAATTCCAGTTCTAGGTATATACCCAAAAGAACTAAAAATAGGCATTCAAACAAATACTTTTTTTTATGCAAATGATCCTAGCTCAGTATCTATAATAGTAAAAATGTAGAAACCACCCAAACATCCATCAACACACAAACAGATAAACAAAATATGGTAGACACATATAACGGACTATCATTCAACCATAAGAAATAATAAAAGTACCAGGGGCGCCTGGGTTGCTCGGTCAGTTGAGCATCCATCCAGCTTTTGATTTCAGCTCAGGTCATGATCTCAGGGTCGTGGGATCAAGCCCTGCGTAGGGCTCCAAGTGCAGCACAGAGTCTGCTTGTCCCTCTCCCTCCCCTTCTGCCCCTCCCCCTAGATCATGTTTGCACCCGTGCTCTCTCTCAAATAAATAAATAAATAAATAAATAAAATCTTTAAAAAACATAGTAAAGTACCAACACACAAGAATCATGCTATAAGAATGAACCTCAAAAACACTACACCAAGCGAAAGAGGCCACATACAAAAAGTAACATATACGATTCCTCTTAAATAAAATATCCAGAGTAAGTAAATCCACAGAGACAAGGCATAAAGCAGGTTATTGCTGCCAGGGGATGAGGGAGGGGCGAATGCGGATGCCAGTTTAATGAGTGTGGGTCTCCCTTGGGTGTGATGGAAACTACACAGAGGTGACAGCAGCAGAAGACTGTGAAAGTGCTCACTGCCATGGAGTTGTGCACTTTTAAATGGTTAATTTCAAGAGAAAGAGAGAAAGGGAGGGAGGGAAAGAAGGTTCCAAGTGCCCACCTATATGCACAACACAGCAAAGGGGAGAGCAAAGCCACTGATGCAGCTGAAAAGCCAAGTGCATCAGACCTAGTGCAGCCCCTCAGGTGATATTCACTAGGGCTCCTCTCCTCCGTTTCCTCCTTCACATCCTACTTCTCGACCCACTTCACCCCTTAGATACCTTTTTTCATATAAAAACAAACTGATTATCATGCTCTTCTAGTTCTTCTCTCCCACTCCAGACCTCTAGGACAAGTAAATATATGTTGCTTTCTCTCCCCTGGAACAGAGGATGAGATGTTACCACGTGCTTTAGAAACACAAACGGCATTGTACGCGCAAAGCATGAAGTTCCAAAAGGAATGCTTCTTTACCTTTGCAAGTTCTCTTCTTAGCTCTTCTTGCTCCTCCTCTGATAGGGTCTCTGTGGCACTGATCGTGGCAGCAACATCTTCTCCTTCCTCAGGCACTGGGTCTGTTCTCAGCAGACCTTGTTGAGGATTTAAAAAAAAAAAAAAAGGCTGTAAGGTACGAAAGCTAAGTAAAATTCTCCTTTAGGCTCCTCCACTACCCCAGCGAGAATAAAAACCATCCAGGTTGGACCCACACATCAACTTTCTGTACCTTCAAATGACCTGGCTCTTCCTGCAAAGAACAAAAGAAAAGTCTCAGCCACCACTAAAAACCACCCAATTATACTCTGCCAAAATATGAATTTAGAAGAGAGAGCATTCACGTAGGTTGTTCTTTTGCTCTGTCACAATATAGTTACTGCAAAGCAGAAGAGTTAAGAGGCCAAGAGTGGGATCTTGCCAAGGCTTTAAATGCTACCCTAGTAAATCAGCATGACTAATAATTCACACTAACAAGGAGAGGGGTTTATAAATGTCTCTAGCTTCCTCTGCTAATCAAATCCAGCACTTAATCTCAGTCAAGAGCTGAACAAACTCAATACCTACAGAAATTTTATTTAAAAAAAAAAAAAGAAATTGTATTACATTTCTTTCCATTGTTAGTGGAGGTAGGAAACTCCCATAGCTTAAAAAAAAAAAAATTATATATCTCATCCGGATAACCCTGAAAAGTTGTAATGTATACAGAAATGACCAACAGCAACATAGAAATTTTCCACATTATTTGAGATCAACTAGGCACAGCCACGCCCCTGGAATAGAGCCAACCACTATGAGTCCTTCACCCTGAAGAACTTGGTACTTCTCGAGTGGCCAAGGAGGCATGTGACCCTCAACGACTCTCTCCTCTCTTCTGCCTAACCACCCATGCACAAGGCTAGGGTGAGGTCAACAAGCACCCCCCCCAAACCCTGGGTGCAAAATTTAAGGTGGCACCAAAAACTCAATATAAATAATTTTAATACTTTAATGCAATATTTTTGAAAAAAATCAAATTCAAAGAATCCATAATGAACAAAATATCAAAATTTTAAATAGGCTCAGTATCACTGACTTTTCCTTCTGCCTCAGGCTCCAAAATGGCTTTGCACAGTACCATTCCCGATCTTGTTTCTGTTTAAAAAAGTTTAGTATTTTGTTCATCATGCTTTCATTTTGATCTTTCTGAAAATTGCATTAACATACTATTGGTCTTGACTGCAGAGCATCTGGGTGCCCCCTTAAATTTTACAGCAATCGCAGACCCCCACCACCCCCACGTCCATTTCTGAGAAGCGCTAGTTCAGCCATAGCAGGGACATGGCATCCCGCCCAGATCAAGATGCCAGGCAGCGGATGACAGACTTCACAGGCAGGTGGAACGGCAGGAGGGAGAATAACCACGCTGTTCAACAAGCAGCCAGCACCACGGCAAACCTAAAGGAAGTATATGAATCAATGACACAACCTATATGCCCACTGTGTAAAAGGTACGAAGCCACCTGTTACGGGGTCTAGCGCATATTAACCGCTAATGGCACGTAATAATTATAACAACATGAGGATAACAGTACCAAAACAGTGCCTACCTGAAAGGTGTTTACAGAACTGTTAAAGGAATAAAAGTAATACAAATAAGACAATTCAAAAACAAACTGGAGTGGGAAACAAAGTATGATTAAGCCTTCTGATGCACAGACAGCATGTGACGGGTACAATCGGTAGCTGGAAAAGCTCAGGAGTAATTGCTTCTGTAGGCCCCCCTCTAAAATATCTTCCCGTTGCCCAAGTAAGACTTCTGTCTTAGAGACAGAACAGAAATCTGATCATGTCACTCTCCAGCTTACAATCCTTTAATGGTGGGTTCCCTGTTGTTTTCCAGACAAAATTCAACCCCGTCGTTTAGCACACAGGCCTTACTGGGCCCTGGTATCTGCAACTGGAACCCTCATACTCCAACCCCAGCCAAATCAAACTGTGGATAAGGTATGTACTGTCAGAAATCACTGAGAAGGGCCCATGTATGCTTGCAAATGCATCCCCTATGCCAGATCATGTGACGAGAGGGTATGAGACTGAGGATGGGAGAGGAGTACATGGGAGCAATCATATAAGACAATATAATAGGAAGAACCACAACAGAGTTAATTATAAACATTCTTTATTTTAAAGGTTTTGTTCAGACTTCTCAAGTCTCCAACCAGAACAGGACTCAAAAAAAAAAAAAAAAAAATCCAGCAAAACTCTGGTGCTAAACCATGCCTTAAAACACAAAGGCTCTTTCATGCTTTTTCATAAATACTAGCTTGCGAATCTGCTTAAGGGGAAAAATGTAATATCTAATTACTAATAACACTTATGCACAGCTGCGCAATCCCAGAAAGAATCTAGGGGAATTTTGATACTATTCAAGTATTTAGTTAGGCTACCAGGGAACATAAATTTCTCAGAAAAGGGGATCGTGTAGTTGTCCACAGTTGGCTTCAGGACTTCCAAGATGACCTTGAGATTTTATATTCAGAATCATTAGTAACTTAGTAATTACAGGTTCTGTTTTTCCCATATTAGCCTGTAGGTGGCAGCAAATTATCAACATTCAAATTTTAAGGTGTGGTTTAAGGGTAATCAAATGGAGGGGTGGGGGATGTAAAATGAACACAAAGAAGAGAAAGGCAGATATCAAAATCACTGGCAAAACATGACAGTCACGACTTAGGAAAATTATTAATAACCACAGCCACCACCACAGAGTGCATTCTATGTATATTTAAACCAGAACTAAGTGGTCCAAATACATGACATCATTTACGTACACCACTTCTGTGATGCAGAGATCTACCAGTTCGAGGAAGAAACAAAGCTTACAGAGGTTAAGCAACTTGCCCATAGTAACACACCTGAATGCATGGTGGGGTTACAATTTTGAACCCAGACAGCTAGATCTGAAACTATATGCTTAAAATCATTGATTTCCAAAGGACAAATGAAGACAAGAGTAGGGGCTAAAGCTCAGACTTGTAAGAGATCTAGAAGCAACAGTAATTAAGACTCTGTACAAAGGAAAAGAACCTGGCAGAGTAGGTCAAAAGCAATCTCTTCACTTCCAAATGTACAGTTTCTCCAAATTTGGAGCCCTAGAAGTTTTTCTAGATATTATCCAATTTCCCCCTATGTTCAGGAAGAGTGTAATATTTATTGTAGAGACAGAGTCTGGCTTTGGGGAAAAAATATTAACTTCTCATTCACAAGTTGGGAAGCAGGAGCATTTTAACATATAATTACTTAAACCATAAGTATGCCAAAAAAAATTCTTATTCGATCATTAATTTTAATAGTTCTCCTCAGAATCTGATAAAAAACTGTTTTTCAAAGATGGCAAAGAGGGACAACATATGATTAATATTTATTGAGATCTAATACACCAACCAGGGAGATTCACATTATCTCATTCTGAAAAAAACATCTTACAACCAACACCTGATGAAAGGAGTACAATTTATCTCCACTAGGAAAGAGAGACTCTCTGAGGTTAGTAATCTGCCCAGAATCACAGGTGAGATTAAAATGCAGGTTTTTCGGACTCCAAACTCTTGCTCCTTCACAAATACTTTTCCTTAGAGAAATTCCAGGGAGCAGGGAGGACAAAGGGCAAGCTGGAAGCAGGACCCGTGCCTTCTCCCCAGGGACTTCCAACATCCCCCGAGGGTGTAAGAACCCAAGTGGATTCCTGGCTGAAAGTCACGGATACAACTGTAGAGCCCAAGTGACGGAAAATTGGGGATAATTTGTTCCTTCTGGTTGTTCCTATTTTAGCCACCTCCGTAATTCCTGTAGTTGTGCTAAGAGTCTGCCTGTCTCCCCTTTGAAGAGTTACATAGCAGAGAGAGCCTGGAGCCCACTGACAGGCAAATGGCTAGGTGCCCAGGTGATAGTCCCACTGCCAGGGGAGTGACAGGGAAGATGAACAGAGACCGGGGGGATCACGCCCCATCAATCCTAAGACACAATTTTTTCCTTCATATTTACAACTTTGAACTCGAGATGCACTGAACAGCCAATTGGTTAAGCAGTCCTTGTGGCATAGTTGTTTGTCACCTGTAAACGTGCTCCAAAATTTGCAAAATGGGTGTCAGGGACTGAGAACATCACAGACCTCTCTTTCAAGAAAGTCTGCATCACAACACTGTATGGGAGGAAAATAAAGCAAGACCTGGATTATTTCCGGTTGAAAAGCAATTCCAGTAAGTTAGGGAATGCACAGGAAGGTATTTCAGGAAAACTGTAAGTTGGTTTACTCTAAAAAATATGCACAGGAGTGTTATGGTCAACATATACATCTGAATAAACTGAAAAGAATGTTAACAAGCATAAAAAATTTTAAGTAAAATTAAAGCAGTGTCTCTTAATCTTTTAACTTGCAGCAATTTCTCCCCTTAAATACTATAATGGTACATCCTAAAATCCAGTGTCTTGGAAGAGATGAAATATAATACTCCACACTTCTGAGAATTTGTTAGTAATGTGAGGAAAACGAAGTGCTTGGGTCTGGCTGCAGTGGAAATGTGTGTGATGAGCAAGCATGGGGGGGAAGAACAAGGAAGAATGGAAAAAGACTTCAGTGTTGAATATGTCCCTAAGTCCAGACTATAAAGTCCTGATGTCAACATCCTTGTCTTTTCATCTCGGTACTCATGGTGCCAAGAACAGAGCAAATGTTAATGCTTTATTTGAACTGATTTACTGGTTAAAGATTTATTCAAATGAAGTTCCTCTTTACTTTCCCACGCATACCCACCGATTCAACATATACTCCCAAAAATTTCAAGCAGAGAAAGCAGCAAAAAAGCCTTTTTTAAATACAAATTTTGAACCTACGATTAAAATTAAGGCATGATTTTGGGGCACCTGGGTGGCTCAGTTGATTAAGCGACCGCCTTCGGCTCAGGTCATGATCCTGGAGTCCCGGGATTGAGTCCCACATCGGGCTCCCTGCTCAGCAGGGAGTCTGCTTCTCCCTCTGACCCTCCTCCCTCTCATGCTCTCTGTCTCTCATTCTCTCTCTCTCTCAAATAAATAAAATCTTAAAAAAATAAAAATA